TAATGGAGCGACGAAGAAGAGACGCTGCATGGGGGGGGGTCTATTACGAGAGGGCAGGACTGCCAAGAACAGACGAGGAAAGCGCGAGGAGCCGCGTGGGCAGCTTAAGCTCTGGGGCAGATCACAGCAGCGCAAGCGCTCCTGGCGGAAAAGGAGGCCTAACGAAACGGCCTCGCACTGCGAGGAACCAGTTGGCCCTGGCGAAGCCACAGGAAATTGCAGAGGCGCCGCTGGAGGGCGTCTAGGTGAACGGGGGCATCTTTGCGGCCTTTAGCGACGCAGGAGAACAGCATGGCAGAGGCTCTACGCTGCGCAGAGGAATGCGGCATCCTGCTCAACAAGTACATGGCCGTGGACATCAATGGCGAGGAAGCGCTGAAGGCGGCAACGCAAGAGCTGTAGGAATAAATAAGGAGCTGCACGAGATCGTCGACTACAGGACGGCAAAAACACACACACACACACCGGAGAAACGCAGTCGGCGCCCCTCAATGCGCAGGACTTCGTCGGGAAGTGGGGCGACAACGTGCACCTCTTCAACATATGCAGGATGGGGCGCAGGATGGGGCGCAAGTAGGGGCGGGGCCTGCTCGCGCGGTGGCCCCTCCCCACGCGTGGTGGAGATGCCCCGGCCCCTACTCGAGAGGGCGCAAGTGGCCGTTATGGTGCAAAGTTGGCTGGTCGCAGCTCGTCAAAGGCGCAGGAGAGCCACCCCGAAGATGAGCTCATGGGAGAGTGGGTGGGCAAGATGAAAGGCGCGTCCGGCAATGACTGCGACATCGGGCACAAGTCGAAGTTCCTTCCGTGCAGGTGCGGGCCGTCAATGGAGGTGGGGCGCGAGGTGGGAGACCCGCGTGGAGAGCTCGTTGCGGAGAGGCTGCCGCAGCAGCTAGACGGCGCCATCAAGGAGCACCGCTGCCAGTTCTACGACGCTGCCCAGGATGTGAGCCCAGAGGAGCTCTCGGTCACGGGACGCCTTCTCATCGCAAGGCACCCTGTGGGGGCGTGGAGAAGGGCGGGGAGGAAGGCCTGACTGCGCTGAACTGGTGCGAGCTGGCGCTGAAGATTTCGAAGATCGACGAAGAGGACCTCCAGGAAGTCATGGGGGTCGCCTTGCAGGAGCGGAGCAGAGAGGACAGTCTCGACCCGGAGGAAGTGAACAGGAGAGGCTCAAAGAGCGCCAGAAGCTACGAGACAGCGCGCAGATCCTGCTGGACGGCGCCGAGATCGCCAGGGAACAGTTCGGCGACCCCAAGCCAAAGGAGACGACGACGGCCAACCCCTCCAGCGGCCACCAGCGAGAGCACCCATCGGAGCCCACTGGAAAGCCAAGAGCTGCATTAGCGAGGTTTTCTCGGAGTGCTGCCCTGGGCAAGCTGGGCGAGCCCACAGGCGGCCAAGATATGCATTCGCGAGGTTTTCCCGGAGAGCTACCCTTGGCAAAGCAGGGGGGGCAATCACGGATTGCTCGAACTGTCATCGCCAGGGGAAGAATTGTTTAGAATGCCGACGGGTACACTACTGCAGGGTGTTGAGTGGGAACAAAAGTGATCATCACGAAGTCCACCAGAGTGTTTCGTCGATTGCCCCACCTACAACATACCGTGACTACCCGCATGCTCCGATCCGCATCGACTTCGAGGAGGAACAGTGGGATGATACAACAGGGTATCAGAGTGCAGATGTGACAATATCTGGGGCGACTATCGGCCAGATCGAGGCGAAAGAGAAGCGAGCCGAGCGGGAGAGGAGAGCATGCTATAAAGCCAGTCGGGTAACCAGGCCCCCCAGCAACAGTTTGGGAACACGGGCCTCCCGACCCTCCCCCCTCCTCTTTTTGGAGTTGTCGCGTCGTCGTCTCCCCCCCTTGCCCGGGCGCGCTGCTAAGCCCGCGAGCCCCCTTTTCCTAGGGCACGCGGAAGGGCCAGCAGCTGCTCACCCCTGCATTGACTTGCAGGGACTTGTAATCGTAAGGTAGCGAGACCCTCTTACCGGGCCACGTTGGAGCGCACCCCTTGAGCAACATGGCGCGCCCCCTGCCGGCCCTAGCGAGAAGGCAGGGCCTTTGCACAAGCAATCGCAGGGGATTTTGTCAGAAGCGTGCAAGGCACCAGCGTGCGCGCTTCACGCTGAACACCGTTATGCGGATGTCCTGTCCTGTCCTCCTCATCTTCCTCCTCCTCCCCCCCTCCTCCTTCCCCTCCTCCCCCCCCTCCTCGTCCGCGTGCTCCCCCCTCCATTTCTCTTCCCAATAGATAACCTTCCCTTCTCGCACTCCGAGGCCGGTCGGAAGGGTGGGCCGGTCGTTTCGCCAAAGGTTCCTCACCATGTGCACCCTGAAGCTTGAACGTTGGCAGCCGCTTCACTGATAGGGGGCGGGTCGTTTTTTTCAATGTTGTTTTTCTTTCGTTTCAGCGTCGCACACATTTTTTTTTTTTTTTTTTTTTGTTTTTTGTTTTTTTTCTTTTCCAAAGCAATTGTACGAACTGCACTGATTGCGAGCGGGTCGTTTTCAAAATGTGGGTTTCGCTTTAGCGCTGTGTGCATAGTTTGATTTTACTTGCAAGAGGTCCACGGATCCCCATGGTCGACGTACGAAACAATGCGCGTTGGAAAAATGTTGGATTATGAGGGCGCAACATGTACGTTGATTCGCGGTGTTGAAGTGTCAAGAACATTGTCTGGCATGACTCAGGATCGTCAACACGCAACATTCAGATTGATTCGTGGCGTTGGAGTCCCGACAACATGTTTTGACATGCTTCAGGGTTTTCAAATGGATGTATTCCAACGACGCAGCTCCGTCAGTGAAGATGGCCCCGCTATGCGGCGAATGGAAAGGGAGTTTTGGGGGACGGTTTATTCCAACATCGTGGAGGTTTGTTGGGTTTACACAGGTCCTCCTTCTCCTCCTCCCGCCCCCCCCCCCGTCCATGGATCGCGAGTTCGGAAAGAGCGTATTCTACCGTTGCTGGTGGAAAACCGAGGGGGGTCAGTGAGGGTTCCCAGCCCGTCTCCCCCCTTCGAAAACCGGGGGCGGTCAGTACCGGTTCGACCATCCCCCTCCCAATCCATCGCGAAACGGAGAGGGTCATTACCGGTTCGAAACCCCCGTCTCCATCGAAACCGGGGGGGTCACTCACTACCGGTTCGAGCCCCCCCCCCTCACCGTCGGCAATCGATTTTCGCTCCTCGGGACAGTTGGACAGTGGTGCGGATATTGGGACTGGTGGGAACGGCGGTGGTGGGGACAGTGGTGTGGAGACAATGGGACAGTGGTGCGGACAGGGGGGGGACGGTGGTGGTGGTGGGGACAGCGGTGAGGGGGACAGCGGGACAGTGGTGTGGGGACAGTGGGACAGTGGTGGGGCCGGTAGTGGTGGGGACAGTGGTGAAGGCGGTGATGAGGACGGTGGTGAGACAGTAGTACAATGGGGAAAATGGTGGGGACACGGGGACAGTGGGACAGTGGTAGGGACAGTGGGGACACTCGGACAGCACAGTGGGACAATGGCGGGGACAGCGGGGACACTGGGACAGTGGTGGGAACAGTGGGGACAGTGGGACACCGTGGGGAAGGTGGGGAGGGAGAGTGGGACCGTGGTGGGACAATGGTGGGGAGAGTGGGGACATTGAGACATTGGTGGGGGCACTGGTGGGGACAGTGAGAACAATGCTTGGAACAGTGGGGACAGTGGGACAGTGGGACAGTGGTGGGGACTGTTGGACAGCGGGGGGGACGGTGGTGGTGGGGACATCTGGTGTGGGGACAGTGGTAATGTGGTGGGGACAGTGGTGGGGACAGTGGTGGTGGGGACAGTGGTGAGGGCGGTGGCGAGGACGGTGGTAGGACAATGGGACAGAGGTACAGTGGGGACAGTGGCGGGGACAGTGGGGACAGTGGTGGGAGCAGTGGGACAGCACAGTGGGACAGCGGCGGGGAGAGTGGGACAGTGGGACTGGGGACAGTGGGGACAGTGGGACAGTGGTGGGGACCGTGGGGAAAGTGGGGAGAGTGGGACCGTGATGGGAACAGTTGTGGGGACAGTGGGGACAGTGCGACAGCGGCGGGGGCACTGGTGGGGACAGAGGGGACGGCGGCGGGAACAGTGGGGACAGTGGTGGTGGGGACAGTGATGCTGGGGACAGCAGTGGGGGATATGGTGCGGACGGTGGTGGGGACCCGGGAGTCGTTTGCCGGCGGTGAGAGTGGGGGGGTGGTTCGAACCAGTAGTGCCCCCCCCTGGTTTTCTGGAGGAGAGGGGGTTTTGAACCGGTAGTGACCCCCTCCGGTTTTTTTTGAGGGGGGTGGGGGGTCGAACCTCGGTTTTCCGGAAGGGGGGGGGGGAGGCGGGAGGGGTTAGGGGAGGGGGGGGGTTGCCGGGGGGGAAGGGGGGGGGGGGGGGAACCCCGGGTTCCGGAGGAAAATGTGGGGGATAATTTTCCATAGTAAAGCGGCGGTGGATCATGCTCTCTACTAGTTCGGGAGTGGGGGTCCTGGCTGGCGGTGGGGGTGCGTTGTGCTGTCCTCGCGCAAGAAAGGCATTTCGTCGCAGTGGGCAGATCCCGCCTTTGCAGCACGGCTTTCGGCTGTGGGTGGCCCGACCTCTTCCCGCCGCCACGGAGCAACCAGTTCCTGAAGAGGAGGAGGAGGAGGAGGAGGAGGTGGAGGAGGAGGAGGAGGGAGAGGAGGAGGAGGAGGAGGAGGAGGAGGAGGAGGAGGAGGAGGAGGTTGGATGAATGGGGCAGGAGGGCGGGGGATGCAGGGTCGGGTGCGGACTTGAGGTGGCGTGGCTCTTGGGCTTCTGGGCGGACTTGAGGTTGGTTCGCTGGGGCCCTCCACTGGCCCTTGGCGAACAGTTTCCCTCTGGACCTGCGTGCTTCATGCCTTTGCCTCGTACAGCCCCTCTCCTGCCCGTCTTTGCCATTTGAGCAGCTGGTTCGATGGCATGTGCCACCTGACCTGAGCGGACACCCCGAGGACCTCGTAGAGGTTACTCATGTTCACGCCAGCCTCTCTCGGCCATGGGCGCCGAGGAGCCTGCTGCCGGCGGGCGAGGTTCGAGGACGGCATCGACCGCTTCACGCTGAGGTTCGCAGACCCGATGCGGGAGGACGGCTTTGCTCACGCCCACAAGGCGCCCCTGTGCAACTACACGACGCTGGCTATGGTCGCCCTTGTCGCCTCCAGCTTCCTGGGTGGCCTGATCGCCCACAGGTTCTGGGACAACGCCCAGTACCCCACGGCGGAGGCGAGGGAGCTCAGCAGGTGGCAGCTGCGCATCGGCATGATGATGACCACACCCTGCGCCCTCGCCCTCGGGTCTGGGATACTGCTGGCCAGGTATAATATCATCAGCACGCTTGGGTTAGAAATCATCGTCGTCTCTGCCAGCACCTGCTACATGATAGTGATGGTCATCATCCCGAAGCACTACATGGCCCGACTCTTCGGCCACGGCGACCCCGAGGACATCTGGGGCGTGGACCTGGGCGGCACCGACGGCCAGACGGTACTGTACATCGACTGCGTGGTCACCGCCTTGCACCTGCTGCTGCCCATCCGCTGGATGCCGGAAACTGGAACGTATACATTACCAGTGGCGGGTTGTCTTTCAATCCCAGGATTTTTCGAGGGTCGTGGACGACGTCGGGGTGGTGTGGTGTATACTAGTTGTCCCGTTGTCCCGGGGAAAACAACGCCAAAGGTATACACCAGGATCCCGCATACACCAGGATCCGTTCTCCTGTGCGAATCAATGCGGGGCCGGAAAAAGCGTCGGTGTACAGTTCGGCTCCTCAGGATGATCCTCTTCCCCATGGAGGTCATCGCCGTCCTGGCCTACACGGTGCCCGCGCTGCTGCTCGGCAGTCCTGCCATGAACATCCGAGGAAGAAACAACGGCATAGGCACAAACATTCGGAGGTCCGCTCCGATCCATCATCATCATCATCATCATCATCATCATCATCATCATCATCATCATCATCATCACCATCACCATCACCATCAGCATCATCAGCATCATCATAAACATTATCAGCATCAGCAGCATCATCAGCATCAGCAGCATCATCAGCATCATCTTCATCATCATCACCATCATCATCCCCATGATTATCACCATCATCATCCGCTCACCATTCCAATCCCTACGCCTGGCTATCATTCCAATCATCCTCCGCCTACATGCCCTTCCTGTGGATCGGCACTGTGCCTCCTGGCGCGCTCCGCGCGCCTCAGCAGGGGAGGTCCGGCGCCGACCTAAGAAACCCGCGTGGACCTTGGGAAGCTCACGTTCGGCACTGTGCCTTCTGGCGCGCTCCGCGCGCCTGGGAGGGAAGGTCAGGCGCCGATCTAAGAAACCCGCGTGGACCTTGGGAAGCTCATGCTTCCCAAACCCCAGTCGCCATGATGTTTTGTTACGACCTCCACCCCCCAGTGTCGGGCCGGACGAGAGGGTCCGGACGAGAGAGCAGGATAGGGAAATCTTCCCTATCCGTCCTTTCGCACCTCCCCTCGAGGGGATAGGGACCTTCCCCTATCCTTATCCTGCCCTACTTCCCTATCCCACCCTTTTTCCCCACCCTACCCTTCCCCTACGAAATTTGCCCTGCAGGGCAAATATCGTACACCCCCCTCTGAGGGGGGTGGGGGGGGGGTCACTTGCTGCATGCAGCTGGCCTCGGCCCGGCCGCCGGGCCCACTCCTCGATAACATGGGCGCCCCTCTCGGCCCCAGGAGGCTCGAGGCGCTGGGGAGTCCAGCCACGGGTGTGCTGATCCCCCCTCTTGGACGCCCCCCTCTTGGCCGCCCCCGATGCTGGTCGACCTAAACGGTGTGTTGGCGATTCCGTGGGCCGTAGTCGGTTTGACGACGTTTTCCAGCAGAGGCGGATTGAAGAAAAAGCGAGGGAAAGCGACGACAACACTAAACCGAGAAACATTGTTTGCGTCGATCCCTGCTTCTGCTGCTGCTGCTCCTCCTCCTCCATGCCTTTCCCTTATGAGTACATATATATATATATATATATATACAGATCATCCCTGTCGCACCCCAGGGCCGGTCGAAAGGGCGGGCTGGGCGTTTCGCTTGATACTTCCTCACCGTTTATGATCCTGCAGCTCAGAAATTGGCAACAGTTTCACAGATGGAGGGCGGGCCGCTTCAAAATCTGGCTCTCTCTTTCGCGCCGCGCACATCCGTTGTAAACACTTGCAAGAAGTTGAAAGATTGAGGGCAGGTCGTTTCCAAAATGTGGCTCTCGTTTCAGCGCCGCGCACATTCGTTTCAAACATTTCGCACACAAGTTTCACGGATTGAGGGCAAGTGGTTTTCAAAGTGTGGTTCTCGCCTCAGCGGCGCGCAAATTGGTTTGAGATAGTTGCACGAGTTCATTGTGGTTCTCGCCTTGATGGCGCGATCATTCGTTTTGAATGTGCAAGAGGTTCACGGATTGAGCGCGGGTAGTTTTCAAACGATGGTTCTCGCTTTGGCGTTCCGCACATGGTTGTTTTACTTTTGCACCAGTATCACGGGTCGAGGGCGGTTTCTATTCAAAATTTGGTTTTCGCGTTAGTGCCGCGCACATACGTTCCAAATATTTGCAAGGGGTTAATCGGTTCTCAGAGTTGACGTACCAGGTATGGTGCGTTGTAAGGATTCCGGATTGTCAGGGCCCAGTATTTACGTTGTTCTAGGTGTTGAAATCCCAGGGGTGGTGTTTTGGTACGATTCAGGATCGCCTACACGTAACAGTCAGGTTAGCTCGTGGCGTTGAAGTTCTCAGAATGGTGTTTGGGCACGTTTCAGGACTTTCACACGCTTGTCCCCCAACGGGGCTCATCTTTCAGTGGAAATGAACCCTTGTAGGGGCCTGTGAAGAGTGAGCTAGCAGGGAGGGTGTATTCCAACATCGTTGCTGGGTCTTGAGTTTGCTCTTCTCCCCCCTCCTCCTGTTCGTCCTATCTCGTGTGCCTCGGCTTGTGAGGACCCCCCAGACGCTTGTGCCGTTCTTTTCTTCCTCCAACATGGTGCCCTACAATGTCATGGGGCTCTTCCGGTAGCAAACCGTGGGAGCCTGGTACACCCTCGTACTCCAGTCTGTTCAGTCCAGAGTGCACTGGCGCCGACTCGCGTCTGCCAATCGATGAGACAGCGCCGGTGCAGCGCCCATGGAGCGTCGACTCCGCATCGTATGAGCGCCGATTCGCACGAGCCAACAAGACATGGCGCGGGACACCCAGGCCAAGGTCCACAGGCATCCCAGGCCGCGGTTCACAGCATGAGCTTGCTTGTTGCAGGTCGGCCTGTGCGGTGTTCCCGGTCTGCCCAGCGACGCTCCGAACCGCGACGTCATCGGGTCACGAGGGATGGCTTGAGAGGGAAGGCGTGGGACGGGGCCAGGACGAGGACAAGTCCGTTCAAGCGCGTTTCAGAACTCTCTCACAGCGTTCCATAGCGCTCGGAGCAAGCCGCGGCGCCCGAGACATCCTACAAAGCCGCCAGATTTCAGAGATCCTCGATGAATCCCCACGCGATGTTAGATTCGTCCTGGCTTCGTCTCAGATGTCTTGCAAGGAAAAAACACATGCTATGTCGGCCACGCGCAGATGGGGGTAGACGGGAGGGGGGGAGGCTTCTCATAACACTCCTACTTCTTGGAAGGCGCGGGCTTTATCTATAGATGTAAGGCAGGCATCTTCTAAGAAGCAGCCTCGTTCTAAGAAACAGCTTCCCTTCCCAGCCAGGAGCCAGATTAAGGGGAGCCAGTTAGAAATTGAGCCCCGCTGCCCAAAACATGGTCGGAATCACAAAAACAGGTCTGGCGTAGCTAGTGTTTTTCGGGTGACGGCAGTTCTGGTTTGGGCCAAGCGCCGGAGGCCTCGGGGAGAGCTCCCCGCGTGCGGAGGCGCACGCGGGCCGCGATCGCCAAGACGTCCCTTGGCGGGTGGGGGAGGAGGGAGAGGGAGGAGGAGGAGGGAGGAGGGAGGAGGAAGGGGAGGAGGAGAAGCGCGTAGAGGAGGAGGAGGAGGAGGAGGAGGAGGAGGAGGAGGAGGGAGGAGGTGGAGGAGGAGGAGGAGGAGGAGGAGGAGGAGGGGAGGAGGAGGAGGGGGAGGAGGGTTGGCAGTCCCCCGGTACACATCGCTAGACCAGGTCCCACCCAAGAGCCAGTCCTGCCAACGCCCGACCCCGAGCGCGCCGCCGGAGACGGCTTGGGAGGCTCCCACGGGTTGCCGCAGAAGGCTCCTGCTGCTCACGGTCTTCGCGGCCATAGGGCGGCGGTCCTTCGAGAGGCAGGAGCCCAGTGTCGTGTAACCCATCCCCATCCCCATCCCCATCCCCATCCCCACCATCCCCACCACCCCAGATATGCGCCTCGAAGCTCGAAGGGAACAGCCGATGACCCCATCAAGGGAGATAAATCGGCCAGTGGTGCCCAGGCCACGCCCGTGGGGATAGTCTAGGCCTTCTAGATGGGGTCGGAGTAGATGGGGTCGGAGGATCGCGCCGCATCGGCGATACATCGCCGATGCGGCTCGATGCGGAGCCCGATTTCTCCACCGACGTCGCCGATGCGTCGCCGACTTCGGCGATGCATCGTCGGTGCATCGCCGATGCATCGCCGATGCATCGCTGATGCATCGCCGATGTATCGCCGATGCAGCGCGATCCTCCGACCCCATCTACTCCGATCCAATCTAGGAGGCCTCTAGATAGGGATCGGTTAAACGATGCTCAGGAGCGCCTGCTGTTCGCGGGGCTCCTGCTGGAGAAGCAGATGCGTTTCCAGGCCGAGTTCGAGCTGTCGAAGCTGGGGAAGCTGGGCAGCCGCGAGGCGCGGAGGAGGAGCAGCTTCCAGAGGAGGAGGGGGCTCCCAGACTTCGAACCGCCAAAGGACTTTCGTTTTGGTCCCCCCCCCTTGTTCTCTTCGGCGGTGACTGGGACTGGTCCTAAAACCTCCTCCTCCCTCCCTCCCTCCCTCCCTCCCTCCCTTACTCCCTCCCTCAGTCCCTCCCTCCCTCCCCCCCCCTCCCTCCCTCCCCCTCTCCCGTGTTTCTGGCACCGAGGTTTGCTGCCGCAATCCTGGGTAGCCGTCCCGCCCCCACAAGAGGAGGCAGACTGGTGGTCTGAGGGAGTCGAGGTTTTCGAAGATAACTGCTTCGGCGTGGGCTCTCCGTTGGCCCCCCTGTGCCTTTTCGGGGACGCGAGCGGGGGCGAAGATACTTCCGATCCCAGGCTCCGCAGAGTAGGGTGTGGAATTGCACAGTATTCTGACATTTCAGATAATATGCAGCTTGTTGCTTCTGTTTGGGGAGGCCTCCCTGGGCCCGTCCAGACAGTTGCCAGGGGTGAACTTTTCAGTTTCTTATCAGCGCTGATCGGTGCTGATGGTGTCACGCTCTATACCACAGATAATTCCAGTGTGTGCTCAGGATGGTATTGCGGGCGGGCCTTCGCCCCAGAGGGGGAGAACGCGGACCTTTGGTATCAGGTAGGTCAGGTGCTCAGACGAAAACCGACCTTATCCTGCACGGTCCTTTTTGTTCACTCCCACCAGGAGGCCCGAGACGTACTCCAGGGTAAAGCACCTCTGTATTTGACGGTAGGTAATGCAGCTGCTGATAAGTTGGCCGAGGCAGCGGCTCGTTTAGTACGCATCCCAGCCTCTGATAGATCGAAGGTTTTCTTGAATGAGAAGATGGCTTTCGCCGTCCGCATGCGTATTTTACTGGCCACAGTCGAGACTTTAAAAGCCGAGGCCGCCCTGGCGGCCGAAGAGCCCCGAGGAACCCGTGTCAGGAATCCAGGGCCCAGGCCATTAGCGCCTCTGGTTTGTAAAGAGTTTTCGACCCTGCATACGCTGTCTGAAAACGGTCTTTCTTGTTTGAAGTGTAGGAGCTCCACCACTAAAGGTATGCGCAAGTTTTGGTTGGAAACCCCATGCTTTGACCTGAGGGCTATAGATGGCGTTTTGCTCAGACCGCCCCCCCGTTGCAGGGTGCACATCTGTGGGGGGTGGGCTGACGACAGTCACACATTACAGTTTCACGCTGGGCTGGGGATTTGGTTCTGTGGCACTTGTGGAAGTTTTGCGGCCCAACAGTTGGCCCAACTCGGAAAGAAGTGCGACGGCAGAGCCACAGGTAATCGTGCTGATTATTTAAAGAATATTGAACGGGGGATCTGGCCTAAAGCTTATAGCAAAGCTGACAAGGCCAGAAGAGCGGCTCGTTCTCTTTAATCGTCATCGTAACCGACACAGTCGCAATATCCGTAACTCCGTAACTCCCTCCCCCTTTCCCTCCCTCCATCTCCTCCTCCTCCTCCTCCTCCTCCTCTTTCCTCCTCTTTCCTCCTCCTTCTCCCCCCACATCTGGGGCCATGGCGGTCGTCTGCTTGCAGACTGCAGCCGCCAGGGCTTTTTTGATGATGGTCCATCAATCCCTCCTCCTCCTCCTCCTCCTCCTTCTGGACTTCTCCCCCCTAAGGAATGGCATGAGAAGAAGATGGAGGAGGAGGAGGAGGAGGAGCAGGAGGAGGAGGAGGAGGGAAGGAGGAACAGGAGGAAGAGGAGGAGGAGGAAGGAGGAGAAGCAGGAGGAAGAGGAGGAGGAAGGAAGGGGATGAGGAGGAGGATAAGCCGCGGAACAAAATAATTAGCTACCACCTATTGTTGGGAACCCAGTCCTTCGACAAGGCAGCCGGAATAATGTTAATTGTTTATCCTCTATTTGGGGGGGGGGTCAAGATAATTTTTCAGGGGTAGTCAAAGGATGAAAGGGCTCCCACACAGCTTCTTGTCGTTCTTTATCATGTTGGTGGGGCCTTCTGGGAGGCCGTCGTCGCCACCGCTGGATGCGCCCCACAGTTCTGGTCAGAGCGCAACCTTGGAGCTGTCCTGTGAGTGGGGGTATCGGTAGCTCCTGGCTTCCGCAGACATGCTCGCGCCGTGGAAAACAACAGCCAGGCGCGAGGTGTCTGACCGGGTTCGGCATCCAGGGGCCTTCGCAGGACCTCGGGACGGTCAGCGAAAGCGACTCGCGATGAAGCGCCGGTCACGGACACGGGGTCGGGATTTCTGGGGACCGCGCACTGCAAGCACCAGGACGTTGCATGCCTGGTGTGCCGATGTCGCTGCTCGTTCTGGAGAGGCCCCGTCTCCAGGCCCTCAAATGGGGTTGAAGCAGACGAGGTCTTCGGATCGCGCCGCATCGCCAAGGCATCGGCGATGCGGCGCCGATGCATCGCCGACGTCGCCGATGCATCGCCGACGTATGGGCGACGTGTCGGCGATACGGCGCGTTCCTCGGACCTCATCCTCTCGGATCCCCTTTGGGATGTCTCCACCGTCGCCGTGGCCGTCCTCCCTCCCAGGTCCTGCCCAGAGCGCACCCGGTGGCAGAGGGTCCGGGGAGCAGCGGGGTGCGTCGGCACCGACGTGGTTTCCCCCAAAGAAGGCCGCGGTGGTGTCGGACCGCGGCTCCGACGAGGTGTCGTGCCCGGGGACGACCATCCGGGTGTTGTTCGGGGTTTCGGGGGCGGCAAAGAGGGGGGTGATGAGTAGGGGTGGGTGAATAGCATGGCACGGGCCATGGTATTTCCCCAGATTTCATGGCGCCTCTTCTTATTTCAATACGTCCCTGGCCACCCCCCTGGGCCGCGCACATGCCGCCGGCCATGATTTGCGCCCCTCCCCCTCTTGGACGCCCCCCTCTTGGCCGCCCCCGAGCATTGTCTTTACCAGCCTGGAGCAAATCCCTATCCCTATGGTTGGTATCATCTTACCTCGATGCCGATCTTGAGGAGTCCCTCAGTTTCTGATGGCGCATACCTATGATTATGATTTTCCAACCTACTTTAGCTTTGATCACCAGAAAGAATTTCGGGCACCGGAAAAGTACCGAAACTCTAGTGTGTTCGCCTTTCGGGCCCTGGGAGACGCTCGTCCGACGTTGTTTCGACATTGTTTCGACACTTTCTTGGGTGCTCGAAATTCTTTCTGGGATGTGGTCCTTAAGTACGATGGGAGCAACATCACCTTCTGATTGGTATCATCTTTCCTCGATGCCGATCTGAAGGATTCCATCAGTTTCTGAGGGCGCATCCCTCACATGGTCTACATGGTCTTTGGCTTGTCAGTCTCAGGGGTAAGGATATGTTCGGGGCTGGTTACTGTCCTGGTCAAGGGTGCCCCTGGTTTTTGGCTCTCTTTTGAAGCTCTCGGCTCTCAGGGCCTTCTTGGTTGGTGGCCTCCAAACGGTGTGATTACCAATCCGTTTGGGAAGTCAGTGGAGCTTCGGGGTCACAACACGAATTTGGGAAGCGGGGTGTTCTCCGAGGATGTCTCGGGCGGTTGGGGCCCCCAGAGTCCCAAGACCGTGCGGTGACGGACCGCGCGGTGAGGACGTTGGAGATTCCGAGATCGCCACGCGGTCCGCCACCACACGATTTTGGGACGCCCCATATTGGCCTCGTGAGGGGTGCGTTGGAGGCCATCTGGGCATCTATGGGGATCCTGGGGACACCTTTGGGCCAGGACCACTCCAAGCAACGCCCGAGCCATGAGCGCGGCGGCCTTCGACGGTGGCGCGGGGCATGCGTCCCTGGACCAGATCCGCTCCATAGGCCAGCGGGAGCACTGGCTCATCTCGGAGGAGAAAACATGCATACACATATACTTTCGGAGCTCCGCTACCCGTCCCTCGTTTTTCGCTCCTTCGGTGCCTCATGGTATGCCCTCGTCGCCGCGGCACGATTCGCCTCGAAATCCTGGTCCAAGGGCACCCAAGGAGAGTCCCGCAGAGTACCAGTATCAGTACCAGCCTCGGATCGGCGCTGGGGCCCCCCTTGGCGGCGCCTCCGTCTCGCCCTCGGTGCGGTCCCCGCGTGCCAAAGGAGGGGTGGCCCAGCGCCGACCCGAGAGATCCAGCGCGCAGCTCCGAGAGTGTATGTTTGTGCCATGGTTTGTTCCTCCATCATCGGCAGCGGGGAGGTGGAGCTCTTGGCTGACAGGGTCCTGGGCGTCGGCGGCTTCGGCATCGTCGCCGCTGGCCTGTACCACAACACCCTCGTGGCGGTGAAGGCGCCGAAGCAGGACATCCTGAGGCTGGCCCGACCAAAACGTTGCTCTGGCAATGTCGTGGATAGCTTCCGTCTACTTGCTCTTTCCGCTCTGGGGCACCCCATTTGCCAGCCAAGACTTGGGAGTTGCGCCAAAGCGCTCGGCAACCGGTCGGACCGTTTTCGTCCTCGAACGCCCCGAACACGCAAACGGGACGCACGCGAAAAGAGCGCCGGTTTGGTCGCCCCCCCGCGCGAGGCGGGGCGCCATGGGCTCGAGCCTGCCCGAGCTCTGCAACGAGCTGAGGGTCCTGCGGCGCATCCGCCATTGATGGGCCTGTCCTCCACCACCACCACCATGAGTTGGAGGGGGGAAGAAGGAGGAGGAGGAGGACGACTAGGAGGAGGAGGAGGAGGTGGAGGAGGACCCCCTCCCCCCTCCAACTTGTGGTGGTGGTGGCAAACGGGCCCATCAGCCATCCCAACATCGCCTTCCTGTACGGGGCGTGCATGGACGCGGCCCTCAGCAAGCTGAGCCTGGTGCTCGAGTTCGTGGACGGCGTGCCCCTGGGCGCGTTCGTCAGCGGCATGCACCCGCACGCGGAGGGTCCAGAGGCCAGGGGCCCGCCGGCCAGCGCCTCCGCGCGGTGCCTCATCGTGTCCGACATCCTGAACGTGCTCCGCTACCTCCACTCGAGGCTCAAGCAGTGGCGAAGCGTCTCGGCTCGCCTACAGGCCTACCAAAGGAACTGTTCTAAGACCCTTTTGTGGTCTCAGCGACGTGCTCTCAGAACATTTCTGGCTGGGAAAGGCTTGTTTTAGCACAGAAGGCTTGCGTTCTGAGAACATTGTGTTTTTCTTAGGACATGTTGGGGTTCTAAGAGCATTCCGTGGTAGGCCTGTAGACATGCCGGGACGGTCGGTCCCTGCTCAAGAGGCAGCCTGTCATAGTCCACGGAGACCTGAAGGACTCCAACGTCTTCGTGGAGGAGCGGCGCGGCAGGACACCGCTTTTGTTTGTCTCCCTTGGCGATGCCCCGGGCGTGCCTCACAGTGGTACGGGGGGATGGGGGGGAGGGCGCCCGCCACGTCACGGTTCCCGCCAGCGGCGTCTGGGAGTGCTCATGCCAACTCCCAGACGGGGCCGGCGCGAGTCGCGAGGTGACAGGAGGGGTGCGTGAGGCGGGGCGGGTCACGGCAGTGATCGCGAGCATCGCAGGATCCTGCAGGATCCTGCAGGATCTCGCAGGATCCTGCAAGGCCCGACGGACCCGGGCTTGGGTTGACCCGGGCCAGTGCGTCCCCGGGAGTGATAGAACAACGGGCTCTATAGGGGGGGCCAGATCTGGTACCACGCCAAGCTGCTCGACTTCGGGCTCTCGCGCCTCGTCACCCGGCGTGCCGTGCCCCTCGGCGGCACGCTGCGCTGGATGGCGCCCGAGCTGCTCACGGGGGTGGCCGTCCCCCCCGCCGCGGCCGCCGACCTGTACTCTTTCGGGCTGCTGGCCTACTTCATCGTGACCGGGCGCCGTCCTTTCGAGGGCGCGAGCAGGGACAGGGTGCCAGTCCTCAAGATTGGTTTGTATGCCACACCCTCCCCACCCCGGTCAGATTCCACCACCCGCGGCCACAGTCAGTATTATACAACCACCACGCCCCATGCAGATACGTCTAGACGCTTCGCGTAACCCCACCAGCCTGTCGCGGCCCGACTAGTGTTCGGGCGGCTTTCGACCTGCTTCGCGAGCCCGCAGACCAAAAAAGTAACCCATCAGCCCATCCAGAAACGATGCCCAAGGGAATTGCCTCGATCAGGGAAGTGGGCGGCACACAGAGGAAGGGTCCCCCAGTGGAGGCCTCTTTGAGCGTCTTGGGGGCCTCTGGGCGGTCCAGGACGCTTGTAGAGCGTCTTGGGTGCCTCGGAAAGCTTCTTGGGGCCTCTTGGAGGTTTCTGGGGAGCCTCTTGGAGGCCGTCTAGGCGCCTCTTGGGGCCTCTTAGGGCCTCTTGGGGCCGTCTGGGCGCCTCTTGGGGTCCTCTTGGGAGCCTTGGGAGCGCTCTTGGAGCCTTCTTGGGCCATCTTGGAACCATCTTGAGACCTCGGATGGCCATCGGAAGCGAAAAGGCGAGACAGCCAAACATTAGCCTGGCGACGGGCCCTACCGCAAGTATAAATCTAATCTTCGCCCGCGCTCCCTATGGGGCCACGAACCGTGTGAGGGGCGTGCCGACATGCGCGGCGGGGCACACAACGCGAGCGAAGACGGTAGGTCTGTGTGCGAGAGACTGAGAGCGCGTTTGTCTGATTGTGGATGGGTTTGCGCGCGTGAATCTACGTGCGTAAAAAATCGACGCCCATGTCGGCGCGCCTCTCACGAGGATCGCGCCTGTTTCCTTCCCGTTATTTAATCGCTTCGCTCATTCCGCCGGCCCGTATTGTGCCATCGCAGGCGTTTGCTTGCGCGTTCGTGGCCTCTTGGAGCCTCGGTGGGGCCGTTTGGGGCCTCTTGGCGCCTCTTTTTAGGCCTCTTGGAGAACTCGGGAGGCCTCCAGGGGGCCTCCTGAGCTCTCGTGACGGTCTCTTGGGGGGCTTTCGGCGGGCTCTTGGCGGTATTTGTTGGTCCTCTTGGGGCCTGGGGCCTGACGTTGTTGGTCCTCTTGGGGCCTCACGGGAGCTTATTGGGGCGTCTTGGGGGTGTCTTGGAGAGTCTCTTGGGGCCTCTTTCGGGGTCCTGGGCGCCTTCTGGGGCGGAGGGCTCGATTTTTCAGTTCTCGGTTTCCTTCTTGAGCCCCTCTTGGGCCTGTGAGGACCCGCTGTTCAAGATGCACATCGCGGGGGCGACTAAAGACAGGCGTGGTGATGCTTCGTTGTTCTTGGCATCGTTCTATCAGGGGCACTTCAAGGACCTGCCGAAAGAGGCTGCCCGAGAAGTGCGAGATCCTGTGTCCGTCCACAGCCCTGCGGCTGACGAGACCTGCCGTGCTTGCCGCGGGGAGCCGTGCACGAGCGGTGTGGCGCCAGGACGTCCGACTTGCCCGAGGGTCGGCGGACGCCTCGCCGACCGCCTCTGGCCTGATATCAAGATCGATGGGCCACGAGGCGATACGCGCGGGCGGCAGAGAGGGGGGTGATGACTAGGGGGACGTCATGGCGGGGGCCATGATATCTCCCCAGATTTCGTGGCGCCTCTTCTGATTTCACTGCGTCCCTGGATCTCCCCCTAGGCCGCGTCTTGGGGCCTCTTGGTCCGCCTTGGGCAGCACTTGGGCCGTCTGGGAGGCGCTCTTGGGCCGCTCCGGGGCCGTCTTGGGAGCCTCGTGGGCCGTCTTGGAGCAGTCTTGAAGGCCTCTTGAGCCCTCTTGGAGCGTCCGGAAGCGAAAAGGCCAGAACGCCAAAAAACATCGAACAAAACCAATGAAAATCAACGATGTTGGCAACTTGGGGCCCTCTTCGGAGGCCTCTTGGAAGGCCCTTGGAGCGTCTTGGAGGCCTCTTGGGCTGTCTTGGGGCCATCTGGGGCGTCTTCGGGCGATCGTTGGCCGTCTCGGGCCTCTCTTGGACCGTCTAGAAAGCTTCTCGGGGCCCTTTTGGACCGATCTGGAGCCCTCTTGGACTCCGAAACAGAACTCCGGCATCTCTGACCCGACCTTGCCGGGGTACTTTTCGCCCGGGGACCCCCAGGGGCCGCCCCGCGCGCGCGAACTAGAAATATTGTTAACCAGGCGCCGGAGATCTTAGCACGCCCTGGCCCGTTGGGCCGGCGAATTTTTCTCCTTGTTTGTCCGTGCGCGCCCACGTCCAAGGGTGCGGGCGCGGCGCCGCACGGAGCCCCCGCGACTCGCGCAGGTCGCCCCGAAGGGGTCCCGGCGACGCGCGCGGGTCGTCCGCTGCGCGGGGCAGAGCGAGCGAGCAGGCTGGCTCCCGCCTGGGATGCGCGGCCCGAAAGCGGCCTCAACACGTCGAATACGACGAAACACTTCCAGAAACCGAAAGTCGCTGCTATGCGAACTCTTCCACTGGGCCGCCACACGATTTCCGCCACAGAGACCTTAGACGGAGCTCCCTATGGGGACACGAAACGTACGAGGGGCGCAATGGGGCCACGAAGTGTGTGATGGGGTGTGCCAGAATGGGTCGGCGGCGCCATGCGGGCTGCGCCAGTGTGACCGTCGGTGGAGCTACCTATGGGGCCACGAAGCGTGTGAGGGGTGTGCCAAAATGGGGCGGCGGCGCCATGCGGGCTGCGCCTTTAGGGCCTTAGGTGGAATTTCATTATGGGGCCACGAAACGCTGTACTGAGTGGATGAAACGCAGGGAGGAGGTTGGGTGGGGGAGGAGGAAAAAGGAAGGAGGAGGAGGAGGAGGACGAACACGCGGGGACCGTCTCTTCAAAACGAGGACCCAACACCACAGGATGGTAGGGACAAACATTGATATTCGCAAGGTGTTGGACAGATGTTGGCCTGTTCGGGGCCTCCTGGGGGGGGTTCTCTGGCCACTTGGAGCCGTCTTGGAACGGTCTTGGGGCCTCTTGGAGCATCGTGGGGGCAATCTTGAGGCATCTTCGGATCGATTGGGCCATCTTGGGGGTCATCCTGGGCTCCCCCAGGCGCTCCCCCCACCCCCCAGGAAACCAACACGTGGCCAAACCAATCGTAAAATCAGTGATTCTTTGGTTTACGCCGCGCCGCCGGCCCCTTGGGGTTCCTGGTAGGTCTCTCGGGGGCCTCCTGGCAGCACTTTGAGACCTTTTGGGGGCCGTTTTGGGGCCGCTTTTGGGCCTCTGGCCCCTTGGGTGCTTCTTGGGGGCTGGATCTCGCGCCGCGCCTCTCGGGGGCCTCTGGAAGGCAGGTTTGGAGCCACTTGGGAGCAGTTTCGGAGCTTCTGGGGGTCTTTTTGGGGCCTCCTGGGTGCCTTTTGGGGGCTCCTTGGGGCGTTCTGGGGGCCTCTTGGGAACCTCTGGCGAGCCTCTTGGGGCACTTTTGGGGCCCCGCCCCCTTGGGCTCCTGGGGGCGGAAAGCTAGATGTTTTGAATGTTTGGTCGCCCTCTGGGGCCCCTCTTGGTGCTGTCTTGGAGCCCTCTTGGGCCGTCTTGGGGACCTCTTGGGCCGTCTTGGGGCTACATTGGGCCGTCTTGGGGCCGTCTCGGGGGCCTCTTGGGGCTGTCTTCGGGGCCTCTTGGGCCGTCTTGGAACGTCGGGAAGCCGAAAAGGCGAAAAGGCAAAAAACCACAAAAAAAACACAATGGAAAATCAACCATTTTAGCCCCTCGGGGCCCTCTTGGGGGTCTTGTTTGGGACCTCTGGGGCTGTCTTGGAGGCCTCTTGGCCCGTCTTGGGGCCATCTAGGGCGTCTTGGAACGCTCGTTTAGCGTCCCCGGGCCCTCGTGGGCCGCCTTGGAACCCTCTTGGGGCCTTCTTGGCCCATCTTTGAGCCCTCTTGGGCCCGGAAGAGCCCGTGACGCGCTCGTCGGGCCCCCCCCCCCCCCAAATCGACCGGGCCGGGCTCCCGGGGGAGGGGTTTGGGGAGGGGGGGGGCATCTCACGCGCCGATGATCCCCAAGGGGCCGGCGGATTTTGATTATTTTCCAAGACTCTTCGTATGCTTCGTCGTTGTCGGTGCACCTCGTTCATTCCGTAGTTTTGCTTTGCGATTGGCGGGAAGCAGCCAGCGCATCGCGCCCGCGTGAAAGGGGGGGGGGGAAGGGCGGGGGCGAGGTGGAGCTCGGCCCAGACCGGGGCGCGTGGCGGACAGAGGTAGCAGTCGCAGTCACGCTCCTGCGGCGTTCGGCTCCCCGTGCCCTGATGTGCCCCCTCCTCCTCCACAGTTCTTCAATATGAACACTACTCTCCTCCTTCCCCTGATGACGGGTTGGGAGCGTTCGCCCCCGCCCCCCCTGCGTGCTGTTTTTTACACGCAGGATTCCCCGGAGTTGGGTTTTCGCCTTCATATGTTTTCAAAGTGCTGCATTCGCTGAGGCGCCGGCTTCATTTTCGGGCCTCGCTCGTTCCGAATCGTGCTCCCGCTGCAGTGCTGGCCTCATTTCCGTGCTTCCGCTCGTTCCGAATCGTGCTCCCGCTGCAACGTTGGCCTCATTTCCGCGCTTCCGCTCGTTCCGAATCGCGCTCCCGCTGCAACGTTGGCGTCATTTCCCGTGCCATGCCACGGCGTGCAATGCAATTCTAGGTTGCGTTCCGTTGCGCGATGCCATGCCTTCAGCTGAAGCTGTGATACGCAGCGCTTAAGTGCCGCGTCGTGCTATGCCAGGCTACGCTTAGATTTTCAACGCCATGCTATGCAATGTTACGTTCGGGGCCGCTGTGCGATATCATGCTTTGCGTTGCAAAGCTTTGTGATGCAATTCTTCACCACGCCACGCCACACCATGCTGTGACATACTACGCTTTGCGGTGCTCTTCTACGCCATGCCACGCCGTGCTCTACAATGCATCGCGTACCCTTTCGGGATCATTGCCCTGGTTGACATCCGACTGTGCGAACAGAGAGGGGATCTACGCCATGGTAAGGGATGGGAGGGAGGGGTGGGATGTCAGATATGACGCGAAGGCACTTAGCTTGTCGTCCTCTTCCTCCTCCTCCTCCTCCTCCTCCTCCTCCTCCTCCTCCTCCTCCTCCTCCTCCTCCTCCTCATATTCCTCCTCCTCCTCCTCCTCCTCATCCGCGTCCTC